TCGATTCCGGTCAAGGGCATGTACCTGGGTTGCGGGCATATCCCCAGTAGGAGATGTGCAGGAGGCAGCTGATCGATGTTTCTCTCTCATCGATGTTTCTAACTCTCTATCTCTCTCCCTTCCTCTCTGTAAAAAAATCAATAAAATATATTTTTAAAAGCTTTAAGGAAACAATAAAATACAGACCCTTGGGAGTATGCGGGTTGTGAGTCATTAGCTGCCTGTTACCGTCTACAGCAGAATCTGCCAGGTTCATAGCAAATGAGGAGTAAAGAGGATGTCAGTGTAGGCGGTGATGGGGAGCAGGTCACAGGGTTGCCCAGTAAGATCCCAGCGTTACCGATGCTCTCGGAGCCCCAGCTGGTTTAGTCACCAGAAGTCAGATGCTGGGCCCGATGATGCCGCCACACTCGAGGGGTGCACTCAGGAGGCTGGTCTCATCCTTGCCGCCCCGGAGCTAAGGTGACAGTGACGGCGGTAACGCCAACTGTGCCCAAATGCAGACGAGCACGGGTTTCAGGACCCAGTCTCAGCTCCCAGGTGCAGAGGTGGAGGAATAAGGGAGCACATCTGACCCTCAGCAGTGAGCGGGGCCCACGCTGATAGCTCAGCCAGCGCCTGGAGGCTGGGGACGTCCTGACGGGGGAGACGGCGTCCCAGCTCCCGTCTGGGAGAAGCGCTGGCCCCGGAGCACAGGAAGGAGCCGGGAGGAAACCCAGGGCACTGAGGTCTCTGGCCCAGCGGCCTCCCCAGCGCCTGCTGGCAGCAGGGCCAGGGCTCCCCTGCACACCCAGCAGAGGCGCAGCGGCTCCCATGAGCCCAGTGTCCGCTGTCACAGGGACCAGCCAGGCAGCAGCGCTGAGGCTGGACCCGAGGCCAGACGGGACTCCAGGGCGAGGCCAAGACAGCTCTCGGATTTAAAACTAGGGCCTTCGAACTGGCCGGCCACTCAGGAAAAATAACACAGAAACAGTCAGGCTGACCCGACCTCTGACTCCTGGGGGTTCTGCTCAGAGAAAGGGATTGGGACTCTCCTTAGCTCGGGAGGCCCCCCGGCAGGAAAGCGTCCCATCCTGGGGACCTCTCAGGCCCGAAAGCTGCCTCGCCCTCTCCCCGGGGACCCGGTGCAGCGCCTTCAGACCCCGAGGGGAAGGATTCACAGCGAGCTTTGTGCACAGGCCTCCCGGCAGCCATGACACGTCACTCCTGCACACAGGGAGTCGTCGGCTCACACGCTGAGTCAGGGGCACAGAAAACCGGGAGGAGGGCTGCAGTGGGTGGCTGATCAGAGAGCCAGCACCAGGCAGTTTGATGGCCATGGCCTGGCAGTATAGTTTGAGATCAGGTAGCAGGATTCCTCCAACTTTGTTCTTCTTTCTCAAGATTGCTGTGGCTGTTCAGAGTCTTTTGTGGTTCCTCGTACATTTTTTTTAAATATTTGCTCTAGTTCTGTGAAATACGCCAGAGCTGTCTTGATAGGAATTGCTTTGAACCTATAGATTGCTTGGGTAGTGGGACATTTTAATGATGTTAATTCTTCCTGTCCATGAATATAGTATATACTTCCACTTGTATCTTCTTCAGTTTCTTTGTTCAGTTTCTTATTTTGCAAGTACAAGTCTTTTACATCCTTGGTTAAATTTATACCTTGGTGCCCTACCTGGTTCGGCTCAGTGGATAGAGCGTCGGCCTGGGGACTGAAAGGGTCCCAGGTTTGATTCCGGTCAAGGGCACAGGCCCGGGGTGTAGGCTCGATCCCCAGGAGGGGGCATGCAGGAGGCAGCCAATCAATGATTCTCTCTCATCATTGATGTTTCTCTCTCCCTTTCTCTCTGAAATCAATAAACACATATATAGATATTTTTTAATTGTACCTAGGTTTTTTGTGGGTTTTTAAGCATGTAAATGGGGTTATTTTCTTAGTTTCCCTTTCCGATCGTTCATTATTGGCGTTGTATCTTGCTTTCCACAATGGTTGCACCAACCAGAATTCCTGCCAAAGGTGCACGAGGGTTCCCGCTCCACATCCTCCCAGCACTTGCTGTTGTTTTACTGATGATCGCCACTGACAGGTGTGAGGTGGTACCTCATTGTGGTCACCGGGTGATTTGCATCTCTCTAATGATAACGCAGAGGAGCACCTTTCATATGTCTGTTGGCCATCGGTACATCCTCTTTGGAGAAGTCCTTTGCCCATTTTTTAAATCGGAATTTTTTTTTTTTTGGTAAGTTTTTAAAATAAATTTTGGCTATTAACCCCTTACCAGGTGCGTCGTCAGCAAATACGTTCTCCATCCAGTGGTTTGTCTTTTTATTGTTGGATGGTCTCCGTTGCTGTACAGGAGCTTTAGTGTGAGGCGGTCCCACTGAGGTGTGTCCCTTCTGTTCCCACTTTGCTGCGTGTTGGTTTTTATCGTGAATGTGCGCTGGGTTTTATCAAATGATTTCCCTGCACCTGTTGACGATCCTGTGATTTCTGTCCTTCATCCTGTGCGCGTGCAGTGTCTTCGCCTTGTTTTGGAGTTAGGGTGCCGCTGGCCTGGTGAACTGAACTGGGAGGCTTCCCTCCTCCGGCATATTTTGGGAGTGAGGACAGGTGCCAGTTCTTTGAAAGTTTGCTAAAACTCACCTGTGAGCCACCTGGTCCAGGGTTTTGTTTGTCGGGAGCTTTTAATGACTGCGTCCGTTTCACTAGTTGTAACTGGTCTGTTTCAATTCTCTGATTCAGTTCTGGAGGATTGTATGTTTCTAGGAGTTTATCCATGTGGTCCAGGCTGTCCGAGTTATTGGCCTATAGTTCACGTTTCCTTGTACACCCTCCGTATTTCTTTGGTGTCGTCGTTACTTCTTTCATCTCTGGCTTCATGTGGGCTCTTCCCTGATGATCTGGTTGAAGATTTCCCTTGTGAGTCTTCTCAGAGAACCAGCTGTTGGTCTCCTGGGTCTTCTGGTCGGTTTTTCTTTTTTACTCCCTTTTGTTTACTGCTCCTTGTTTCTTGTACTCACTTTGGGCTTTGTTTGTTGTTTTCAATTCCTCTCCGTGTACAGTTACATTGAGCTCTTTCTTTTTGCTCACAGTAGGCCTGTAATGCTATGAATTTCCCTTAGGACTGCTTCCACTGTGCCCCATAGATTGGGTTGTGCTCTCATTTTCATGTTTCATGATATCTTTTCTTCCTTGATCACATTGCTCAGCCTCCATGTCTTTGTGTGTGTGGGTTTTTGTGGACATCTTTTAACCACGGAGCCGAGGCCGTGGGGACCTGTGTCCTCCCGGGGTGGCCCAGCGGTCCTGCTCTGACCTGTGCAGCGGGGTCATCCTGGCGCACAGCTGAGCTCTGCGGGCGGGTGTCAGGTCGACGATCACTTTTTCCGAATCAGCCCCATCGGCCCGCAGGCGCCGTGACTGCAGAGACTGAAGTGTAGACCCTGACAACAGGCAGGAACAGGGACGGAAGAAAACCGGCACCTTCCCCCGTGAAAGGCGGGACTAGAGCACTAACTGAAGCGAAGAGAATTCTCTACTTACTGACCTCCTCACGGGCTCTCCCCGCTCCTGTGCCGGACGGCGGTGGCCTGGCGGTGGCAAAGCAGCGGAGCTGCTGGGCCCCAGGTCACGCCGCCGCCTGCCTTCCTCCGCAGGTGGGCGGCATCAAAGACAAGGTGCTGGCCGCGCACAGGGCGGGCCTGAAGCGGGTCATCCTCCCGCAGAGGAACGAGAAGGACCTGGAGGAGATCCCGGGCAACGTGCGCCGCGACCTGAGCTTCGTCACGGCGAGCTGCCTGGACGAGGTCCTGAACGCCGCTTTCGACGGGGGCTTCTCGGTCAAGGCCAGGCCCGGCCTCTTAAATAGCAAACTGTAGGCTCGGAGCGCGGCTCAGGCGCCGTCCTGAAGCCCCGAGGCCCGCCGGGCTGGCTGCTCACACCAGCGGGTAAGCAAGACGTCCCTTCCCCGGTGAGCTGGTCGGCAGGCGCGGGCCTCACCGCGGGGCCGCGGGGGCCACAGAGATTTTAATAAACGGATAGCACTGACTCCCGTCTCTGGTCATCGTCTGTCCCTGGGAAGGCGGCTCACGGTTCCCATGGGGCCCCAGACAGAACACCTGCCCCCCGAGAACTTGCTAGAAACGTCCATTCTCCAGCCCCACCAGAGACTCCCACCCACTCAGATCTGTTCCCCGAGCCTCGGGCGACTCAGACGCCCAGGCAAGGCCAAGACAACAGGTAGAGACCATGACCTCAGACCCCTGTCGCTGCGGGAGAGGCAGTGGGCAAAGCTGAGAACACAGCCGGTGAGTCTCTGTGGATGTGAAGTTTCAGGTTAAGTACCGCGTGAGGAGGCCCACACGTCCCAGCACACGCAACATCACACAGGCAGAGCGGCCCCGGTGAGCACACGTCAGTCAGAAGCACGCCGGCCCGAACGCCTGTCCCCTTACCAAGCCCAGTCCCCAGGGGGAGGCCGCCAACCTTTCCAGGCTGGTCCCCACGCTCGTTATCCGGGCCCCGCCGCCTCCCCCTGTCCGTCCGTCCCCGTCTGCGGGCCCTCCACTTCTCGTCCCGACTCACCCAGGGTTAGGACAGCAGGTCAGGCTGGGGCTTCCAGGGTCATAGCTTTCCTTACCCAGCGCCCGCCTTCCTGCCACGCCAGTGTGGCTGTGGAGACGGAGGACGCGACGGACAACCCGTGCCCCCCTCCGGAGCGCTCTTCCAAACTGAAGCACAGGTATGTCGGGCGCTGCGCGGTTTCTTGGATGAGAATGGGGCCTGCGAGTTACAGGCGTGCCTGGCCCTGCTGGTGAGTGCCGGCGCTCCGGGAGGACGCGTCGGACCTGGGCTCGCTGTGCCTGTGCCGGGGCCTGCGCTGCGCTGCGCTGTACTGGACAATAAAACTCTTGCATTTCAAAACTGCACACTGCTCTCTGCTGTAAAGCACAGAATCGGACAGGAAAACAGCTTTGGATTTTAATCAAACTTAGAGCTAAAGCAACACAAAGAGTTTTCAATTTGCCAGATATTCTTTTAATGAGAATTATAAAAGACCAAAAAACATTTTTTTGCAAACTGCCTTTTTTAAAACAAATGCTTTGCTTTTAATTACAAATACTGTGAGATGATGCCTTCTTTTGCAAAACCAATAAATATGAGAACAAATTTTAAACATGTGATTTGTCCAAGATATTGGGGGGAGGGAGGGGATTTTTCAATATTTTTTTAAAAATCAGTATATCCTACTACCTTTTAAAGAATAAGTTTGAAGGCGTGACTCAACTGGAAAAAAGAGAAAAAGACCGACCGACCAACCATCTTCTAGCTGCTTTAAGTAGCTTCTGATCTTTCTTCCGATGTTACCTCTCCTTTCTGGAACTCGTGTCTTCACAAGAGGCTGAATATAAAGTATTTCTAATGAACTGATTAATGGGGAGAAAAAACATGTATGGAACACACATGTATAAACTTTACCATAAACAAATTATGCATATCAAAAAAACACTAACTTTAAAAAGGTACAAAAAAAAATGGGAAAAGCTTGAATTACAGAAAAGAAAGTCAAATTTATTTAATGAAAAACTAGAATTAATAAAAATTAGCAAATACACACAAAAAATATATACACACACAGCAGCACTATGTATTGACTCAAAAGAGGGGAAGCAGTGGCCCAAGACCACTCAACATGGCTTGTCAGTTAAAGGAAAAAACCCAAGCACACGCACACGCTCCCACACACTCACGCAGAAACAAAAACCCAGTATTTCTCAATAGTACACTCAATCTACAACACAAATTCAGAATTATTTTACAATGCTTCCTTTCTTAATACAAAAGATGCCCATCTTGGGTGTATATATATATTTTTTCAGTGGTTTACTGTTGACTTATTTTAAATATATTAGTGTTACTACATGCAACCGCTTCCTGTATTTAACAGCCTTTCCATTTATTTCCCTTCATGTGACTAGCTCCACCTACCAAAAGTCTCGGGGGGCAGGCAGAGGGGGCCTATTCTCTGTGAAGTTGAACGCAATGGTTTTAAACACTGGCCAGAAAACGTTTGATCGCCACTTCAACACATGGAAATAGTGACATTGATGCCTAGATTGCCATTTTCTGCAAAAAGCTGTGCGATGCTGGTGTCAAAGACTAGACAGTCGCTATTCATAATGGCCGTTGCGATTCCCTCATGAATCGATCGGGGAGTAGCTTCCCAAGTCAATCGCCGCCTATGGCCATTTAGCTCGAGTCGATAAGCAAAATTTTCCGCCTGCTTGCGCGTTCCTATCAGCTGGACGATCGCGAAGAACTGCTGGTGCCCGTCGTACTTCTCCTGCTTCTCCAGGACCAGCATGAAGTGGAAGCCGAAGCAGGACTGCATCATCACCCAGTCCACCGCCCCGGGCAGGTTGATGTCCGTGGCGAGGAACACGATGTCCTCCCCCTGCAGGGTGGTGATGGACTTGTGCTGGTGCATCAGGTGCGGCATCACGGCATCCAGGGAGCCCTGCCACTTACAGGACGCGCCGGGGCAGGGGCAGGAGTAAGGCCGGAACTCGCAGAGCTCCTCGTGGTCGGCTTTTTCCGTGTGGGGCAGAGTGACCTCACACCCGGAAGAGGCGTATTTACAAGGGAAAAGTACCGAATTGGCCACTTTCTCCATCGCCAAGTTGCGAATGGAGCCCAAGGGGCCCCGGCAGGTTGGACAACACGTGAGCTTTGGGCGACAGTTGCTACAGACAAGATGGCCGCTCTGACACTGAAGAATGGGTGGCAACACATAGTCAAAGCAGACAGGACACTCAAAGAGACTGGCCAGGTCATTGTTGGACGCGGTGGTGCCCGTGAGGGCGGGCACCCTCTGCGACGGCGTGCACTTGGAGGTCCCGGTGGGTAACGCGGTCGCAGTCTGGCGGCTCATTTCTGTAACGGAAACAGAAAAGTCAGAGGAGGAAGGAGAAAAGTGATCATCGTAACTTGTTTCCTAAAGCCATGTGGTTCATGCAAAAAAAAAGTTAAGATATTTTTATTGATTTCAGAGAGGGAGAGAAACATCAATAACGAGAGAGAATCATTGATCGGCTGCCCCCTGCAGGCCCCTACTAGGGATCGAGCCTCCCACCCAGGCATGTGCCCTTGACCGGAATCGAACCTGAGACCTTTCAGTCCACAGGTCGATGCTCTCTCCACTGAGCCAAGCCGGCCAGGGCTCATGCAAATTTTACTGTGAGCAGAACAAGAGAAACAAATGGTTAAGAAAACGTAATTGCATAAAATATGCATTTTGATCATTAGGAGTTATACGCTGGATGAAATCTCTTCAAAAAGTTCCAGAACACAACAGAATTCCCTTTCTTACTAAAGAAAGTGAAATCCGGCCCTGGCTGCTCCGGTGGAGGGAAGGCTGAAACACAACTTGGACCCCAAGCAACTGAGAAACTGCGAAGTCGCTGAAGTCCAAGAGGAAAGATGGGGGGGGGGGGGGGGGGGTGTCCACAGGTGAGGCGTTCTGAGCCCTCGGCCACCACTGCTGCTGAAACGCCCGTCACACCAAGCCCTGAGACAGAGCTGTCACCCGGAGAAATGACCAGCAGTGTGACCGACACTCGGGCAAGTGGACGATAAAACGGCACCTTCCCCAGGAACCCACCTGCGCAGACTCTCAGGCCTTAGAGCGCAGACCCATTAACTACATCAGCCATATTTCTACACAATTAAAATTTAATGCCTCCAAGTTAATGTCTCAATTATCATTGTTATTCTGTTGCAAAGAATTTACCTTTGAAAACACAATGCTAAAAGAAAAGGGGAAAATACACAATGCCGGCTACCAGTGTGACCGTGTAAATGCAACCCGGGCTCTACGTTACCCAATTCTACACCTTAACGGGCTGAGGGCGCCAGAAGAGATCAAGCCCACTGTCACGAAAATATCCTCAAGTTCAAGGAAAAAAGAGTAGCAGGATCCCAGCATGGGCGGCCGCCACGTGGAGTCGGGACATGCGATCCGCGCTCTTTGAGGCCCCAGCCGGGCAGGAGTGCGTGCCAGGAGGTTCCAGTGCCCGCGACGGCCGCGCGGAGGTCACGCGTGAGCAGTGGTGGCAGCATCGCCCAGGTGCCCAGGAGCGCACGAGCCTGCTTTGCGGCCGCTTGCGCTGCTCACCTACGTGAGTCTCGGGGTCACGGACAGTGGTTCCTTGGGGGGACGTGTAGGCCGCCGGCGCCGTGCACATCGCCCAGCGGAGCCGCCGGTCACAGCGGGGTCCGCACACGGCGTGTGGTCCACGCGATGTCAGGACGCAGGGAAGACCGGCACTTCTTGGCCTCCAACGGCGTAGCAATAGTTCAGGTTCAGTTCCAATAGAGCCGATTGTCATTCCAGACGACTTACACTCCTAGTCAGTGTGAGGCGGGGACAGGCCGCGGTCCGTGAAGCCAGGCAGCGGCCAGGACCTCCGCAGCTGCGCCCCCTGCGCGGGCAGCGGACCCCAGCGCCGGGCGCTCCGCGGAGGGCGTGGTGCACCGGGAGGGGGCGCTAGTGAGCCGAGGGTGCTGCAGCGCCCCTCCGCTTAGGGCCCGCTCACCGCTGCCCCGCTGCCCGGCTCGGTTTCAGCAACCCAGTCCTCACAGGCCAGGCTGTGCCTCCTTTTCTCCTCCTCTCCCGGGCCGGCAAACAGGTGAGCAAGACGCCCCTCCCGTGCAGGCGGGGCGAGGGGCAATGGCCGGGCCTGGGAGCGGGGCGGCGGCAGCGCCCTGAGCAGCTTCTGTTCCTGCGCGGCGGGCGGGAGGCGGTCAGCAGGCCCCGGGCAGTGCCCGCTGCACCCGCTCCTCTCTGAGCGCCGGCCTCTCCGGCCCCAGCAGTGGCCGCACCTCCCCAGCTCGAACTCGCCTGCGTCCCCAAACATGGGCGCCATCGCTGCGCCCCCTCCCCAGACCCACGGGGCAGGCAGGCACGGGCTGGAGGCGGCCGGGAGGAGGGGGAGGGAGGAAGAGGGAGGGGGAGCCGGCGGCGGCCCCAGAGGCTCTGCGGGGCAGGCCACGGAGAGGGTGGGGCGCGGTGGGGGGAGGCCCTTGGCTGCGCCCCGCCCACCGGCCCAGGGCTCTGCCCCGCGCACCCCACCCGGTGGGGCTCAGTCCCTGGACCCCGCTCGCTTAGACTTAGGTTGGCACGTGCGCCACAGTCCGTGTGGCTGCACCCTGAGCTGCACAGACTATGGGCGCTGGGAGGACAGCCCCTCCCCGCACCCGCTCCACCAGTAACTACCGACCCACCGGGCACCGGGCGGTTCCTCAATTCTAACTCGCTTCTCCATTTCTGCCTCGGCCCATACTTCCCCACCCCCCCCAACACTGCAGTGCGAGCAGCCCCCCCCACACACACACACCCCGAGTTAAACTCCCACTCAGCCCCGCCCGGGAAGGCCGTCCTGAGTGGCCTCGTTAAACAGCAGCTTGTTTTGTTCTCAGCTTTGCCCTCGCCCCGCAGAGCCCGAGGCTGGCATTGCGTCAGCTCCGCCGGAGGAGCCTGTCATTAGAGCAGCCGGAGGCCTCCACCCCCGGGCGGGGCCTGGGGCAGGGCCTGGGCACCACCCACTTTCCCATCAGATCCCAGCTCCCATGGCCACCTCGGCTTCTCTTACTCAGAGAGACATAAACATGCGGAGCAGAACACACTTGTAGGGTGCCGGCAGATTAAGCCATTACTGCCTACGTCTGTTTCCCACATCTGCGTCAGACCAGCCCCGGGTTCCTAAGGCAGGAGACGGTCAGTGCTTTAGGCAGGGAAGCTCTTTCTATGCAGAATCAAGGCAGAACCCAAAGGTGTAAAACAAGCAAAGGGAGTGCTGGTTCCTTGAGCAAAAAGTTTCCCTCTTTCCCCCAACTCCCAAAGGCCCCGCACAGACCCTCACTGCCCGTCCGCAGTCCATCGGGGGCTGCCTTCTCCGCGAGCGCCCGGGGCAGTACCAGCAGAGTGCTTAGTGCTTAGGGTCGCCTACACCTGCATTCACCCCCCCTCCCCCACCCAACTGTGAAACGGGGACATTTCCCGCTTGGTGGCTTTGCCTGGATTCAGGAAGGTGGGGACCTGGCTATCACAGGAGGTCCAAATCCCAAAGAGGGTTCACCTGAGGCCTCCAAAGCCGGTGACCCGCCTGGCTCATCAGCTCAGCTCGCTGGAGCCCCAGACCCAGAGGTCCCGCCTGACCATGGGGGTGCCTTCCGCCAGCACAGGCGACCACCATGTTTGCCGAAGATCAGCCGCCACGTCACTAATGTCCAGTGCAGTGAACCTCAAAGGGATTCCTCAACTGGGAATAACACTTACCGACACGGGCTTTACAAAGAGCCTAACATTTCACCAAACCACATACACCAAGACACGCTAGAGGGGCCAAGGCAAGCAGAGGCCACAGCCGCCCGGGAGCACCTGGCCACCTCCGCTTTCTAGAGAACACCCCCGGCCCCTCGGACGGAGTTTAAGCAGCGTTTCACCTCAACAAGAACAGCTGCGATTCAGCTTTAGTGTTGTCCTAGCGATTTTGGAGCATCAGGCCATTGCTCTGCCTTCCACATGCAGGAGATGGGCTGTCAGTCTCGATTTCATGTGGGAACCTGCCTCCTGTATTAACTGGCTGAGGAAGAAGTTCTCTGATTAGTCACAGCCGCGTGCCTGGCCCCTCCAATAACCATCCTGCTGTGCTGCCATCTCCTGCTCGTCCACAACGCTGCAGCAGCCGGCCAGCCAGGCCCCTCCGAGGGCCGCCTCCTGCCGCTGGCCCTGGCCCGGGAGCAAGTGATGTGACAGCGGCAGCAGGACGCCAACGCCGCGGCTTCCGAGGTCGGCTTCGCCTGGAGGACAGGCCGGCGGGCGTGCGTCGCGAGGCTCCTGCAGCAAGTTCCCAACAGGACCTGCAGGGGAGGCGCAGGGGCGAGAGCGAGCAGGAAGCCGCCTCCAGAAACGGCCGGGCCAGCTATCTGGGCGGCAGGAGCGGGTGGTTTTTAGCTGTTTCCTTCCAGGGGACGCTAGAGAAGCTGCTGTATAAAGATTAGTCTGAGAAATGGGACCAGTCGGTAACATCTGCCTTCCTCAGCGAGTGGAAAGGCCGGCTCAGGCTCGGGAGGGACCTGAGGAGCTGATGCGACACCACCCACAAGTGCCCCGGCAGGAGCCGCAGCAGGAGGGGGCGCAACGGGACCCGCACAGCCCTGTCCTCTCGCCTCTCAAGCCTTTCCATCCTCCCCTGGCATCACCGCTCCCCTTTCTCCTGTGCGTTCCTCTCGCTGACACCGACCCGCTGTCTCCCATCCGCGTCTGTGGCCACACACAGCTGCCTCGGCCTCACCCCTGCCAGACGGCTCAGGCCTCAACTCCACAAATCAGAACCTCAGGCTTTTGTCTCTGCCCCGGCCCACCCCCTCCTAGCCTTTCCTGTCTTGGTAAACAGCACCATGGCCCACAGGTGCTCATGCCAGAAACCACTGAATCCTTCCTCCCTCAGCGCACATCTAACCATCAGCAAGTCCTGTTCATTCTGCCTCCAAAACACATGTCGAGCCCACCCACTCCCTCCTCTTCCTGCCACACCCCACCCAGGGCGCAGGCACCGCCTCCCTGACCAGTTCTCCAAGCAGCCAGGGCTCCAAAGCCACAGGGGGGAGGTTCCTCCCCTCAAACCTCGGTGGCTGCTCAGTGCCCTTCCTCGCCCCTGCCTGGCTCTCCCCTCCAGGGCTCCAGCAGCCTGCTCTTCCGCCACGCCGGCCTTCCCGCCGGCCTTCCCGCCGGGGCCCGCCTGCCCCTCAGGTCTCCTGGGTGGTACACATCACAACTGTACTCCTGTTCACGTCCCTCACAGAGGACGCGTGGTAATATTTAGAGAAACTGAGTCACTTACTCAAGTGGTTTTAGAATTATTTAAGCCCTTCCTTTGCACTGTGCCTTTAGATGCCGAGCAGGCACTGTCCCTGCTTTCCAGGGGCTCAAAGTCACAAACTGGGAAGTGAGAGCCACAGGCCCTTCCAGTCCAGCAGGGCTCACCCTCGGAGCCACTGTCGGGGGACATGGTGGGGGCCACACGTGGAACTGCTCTCAGTGGACACTAAGGCGTGGAGAGAAGCCAACTCCCCGCCCGAGGGGCACCGATGGACACGGAGAGACCGAGGACAATCGCGAGCGAAGGGATGTTCCAGAAACGAAAAGAATCCAGTGTGAAGGCATCAGCCATCCGACCACTACCTCCTGAGCACCACCTGCCTGCCGGACAGACAGGGTCCCACAGGGACCGCCGTCTATTGGGGGTGAGCGCGGGGAGCACAGAGAAACCTCCAGTTCAGGGGAATACACGCTACAGGGGCCACGCGATGAGAGGGCACCTGAGTCAAGGTGGGAGTCCAGAAGGAACTACGGGGGCCCAGGCTGAGGTTACAGAGCTGAGCGGGGAGAGGGGAACAGGGCGCACACAGGCACCTGCAAGCACCCGGGGAAATGGCAGGAAGTAACGAGAGCCAGCTCAGGGGGCTGTCCGTCCCTGTCCGCATGAGGGCCTGGAGCCTCATCCTGACAGCTCTGAGCCGCTGTCTTAGACAGAGACCCAACGCTAAGACCCAACGCAGCAGCCCACGCGGAAGGCAGGAAGAGAAGGGCTGAATGTAAAGGGGGGGGGGGGGGGGGGAGGCAACGCCAGGTTTGAGATAACCCGACGGAAGAAGCGCCCTGATACATAAAGGTGGGATCATAGGTAAACGTGTGAAACTCATAACGCACAACACTGCGCGTGAAGCAGTGTCAGGCGTGGACTTGGGTGACGTGTGTGGGTGCAGTCACAACTGTAACAAACCAGCCCTCTGGTGGAGGCGCTGCGAGCAGGCGGCTGTGTGAGGGGAATCTGTCCCTTCTTTTCTGCTGCGCCTCCAAAACTGCTCCTAGAAATGAAGTCGTTTAAAGAAGATGACCTACAGGCCAGAGAACATGTGAGTCTCGAGTTCAGCAGGGACACGCCCCCGAGTGTCCCCGGCACACGGACAGGAGTCCGACCGAGCGGCAGGCAGAGCCCTGCCCTCTGCACAGAGGCCCGAGACGACACCCCGGACCCACCTCCCGCAGCGAGGTGCAGACATCGCCACTGAAAGGACACGTTCACGAAGCGTCGCGAAGAGGAAGATTGATCCCAGGTTGTCTGGTTGTTGTTTGGAGGGGGGGGGGGGGGGGAGATAGGGTTTCATATAGTAATTACGCTTGTAGTGAGGTCTATACCAGAAACATCCAGAACACTGTACAAGGGGCGCACAGAAAACCCGTAATTGTAGTAAAAGTCCGACAGGCTTCTTGAAGAAAGAAAACCCCATCTTTAGAAACTGAGTCCATCAGCTGCTTTCAAATAGAAGCGGTCAGTCTGCAAAGCTCCTAAACTGACTGCGTTGCCCTCCTTATGTAAGACCTGCTTTCAAACAGGGAAAATAAAGGCCGGTTCTTCAATTATGTCATTGCTGCCACAGCTAAACATTCCCTTTGTAACTCCAATTAATTTTAGCCTGGTTACAATATTCTTAATGACAGAGAGCAGAGTATTGCTCTACAGCAATTTTATAAGAATTTCCCAGAGCTTAGAGGCAACCGATGTGAAGCTAAATTGAAATAAACTTGTTTCAGAATTTGTAGTCTGTGGAATACTTATCCCGAGAAGTTTCACGGCTATTAATTTACTTCGGCTGAAAATATTAGTGCTGCTAAAGCCGCTGGAAAGGCGCCGAGACGCATCACGCAGACCAAGGCTATAATATAAAGAAATATGTGGCAAAGCAAACTCTGGGGTTGCAACTCACCATTCCAGGTCACAAAAGTCTTATCTTTCATTTCCAGAGCCACCACCACCACCAAAAACAAACTACACCCTTTGTTTAATCCACTTTAAGTCTCAGAATCTACTCGTCCCAGAGTCCTCCTCACGGCTGACCGAACCCCCTCGTCCCCATTGAGCCCTCGCCTCCCGGGTTCACCCGCTGGCCCGGACATGGGTCCCCAGGCTCCGCTCTTCAGGAACGTCCCCAAGGGATGGCGCCCCCGGGGACACCCCGCCCCCGGGGACGCACAGCTGCGCGGCGCCGGGGCTGCCTTTCACTCCATGTGACTTGCATCCCAGCGCGCGGGGCCCTGTCCCCACCGCTTCCCAGGGAAACCTCAACTCCCACGTCTCCAAGCACCTGTCAACCTGGTCCTCTCAGCCTCTTGTTTTCGTGTCCGACAACAAAAGGCACCAAAAGGAAAACCCAGGAACTAACCGCTCACAACGTGACCTCACGCGCTTCCCACGGCCCCGCCGGCAGGAGAGCCGCCCAAGTTTAGCAACAGTATCAGCCGCCCCGCAGCGCGCGCGCCCTGCGCCCCCCGGGCCGCCGCTCCCAGCCCTCGGCCCGTCGCATCCCTCTGCCCCGCCGTCCCGGAGGAGGAGCCGCCCTGACCCATTTCTCGGGGAAGGAGAAGGAGGCAGAGCGAGGTTACGTCTCGCGCCCAAGGTCACCCACCGGGGGGTGGGGGGCAGGGCGGGCGCCGCAGCGGGCGCTCCGACCACCGCGCCCGCGCCCCCATCCCGTGCTCTGGAGGGTTCCCACCCGGGCCACGCGGGAGGCGGCCAGGCTGCTCCGAGTCCAACCGCCCGGGCCGCGCAGCCCGTCGCCGTCCGACACCCGCACTCGCGGCGGCGGTGACTTTGACACATCGGCTCGCGACCCGCGACCGTGTCTCCCCGGCGCGCACACCTCGGGCGCCGGGGCGCAGACCCTGCACCTCTCCAGGGGCGGGGACGGGGCGCTCGCGCAGCCCCGCGGCCCAGGGACCCCGCCTGCCCAAGTCGCCACCCGGGGGAGCCGGGGAGGGACCCCAAAGTACCCGAGACGCGCGGCAGGGGGACACCGAGGCGCACGATCAGCAGCCGGAGCCTCCCCGGCGAGCGGCGGGCGCGACCTCCCGCCGACGCCACAAACGAGGGAGGCGGCCGCATCCTCCGCGCGCACAATGCAGGCCGGGCGGCGGGCGGCGGGCGGCCGCGCTCAGCTGACCTCCGCCATGTTGGCCGCGCACCCGGACCCTTCGCAACAAAGGCCGGCGCCGGGCCGCCTCCCCCGCCGGGCCCGCCTCCCGGGCGCGCGGGGCCGGCCCGCGGCGAGCAGGCCCTTCCCCGCCCTCCCGGCCGCGCGGGCCCCCTCCCCACCGCCGCCGGCGGGCCCGGGGCGCGGGGGCGGGCGGGCGGGCGGAGGGAGGGGCGGGGGGCGGCGCTCGGCGGCCGCGGGGCCCGGACAAAGGGCCGACCGGGGGCCGCCGCGCCCTCCCGCCGCCGCCACGGCCGGGCCCGCCGGGCCTGCTCCCCGAGGGCCCCGCGCGGCTCCTCCCGCCAGGCCGGGCTGCACTCACCTGAGGGCGGAGGGCGCGCCTGGGACCCGGGCCCCGGCTACACGCGCCCCGTCGCCGCCGCCGACCCCGCCGCCGCGGGCAGCCCCCGCCTCCGCGCCGCGCCGACACCCGCCGGACTCGCTGGGCCGCCTCCGCCGCCGCCGCTCGAGAGCGCGCCCCGCAACGGCCGCCCGGCTCCCCCCTGGCCGCCGCCGCCGCCGCCCGCGCGTCCTCGAGCCGCCGCGCGCTCCCGCTAAATACCTCTCGCTGCGGCGGCCGCCATGGAGGCGCGGCCCCGCGGCCCGGGGGCGGGGCTTCCGGCGCAGGCGCAGAGGCGGGCGCGGGTGCGCAGGCGCAGGCGCGGGGCGGGGCGGGGCGGCCTCGGCGGCGGCGGCGGCGGCGGGTGCTCGTGCTCCACGCCCCGCGCCCGGCAAACGCGAGGATCGACGGCCGCCGCGGGACCCTGGTTTCCCGCCCCGGGAGCCGGGCTCGCTCCGCGCCTCCCCGGGCCCTGCCCGCTGCCCTTCCGGCGGCCGCCGGGCACCCCGCCCCGGAGGAGGCCAGGTCCACGCCCCTCCCGTGGGTTCGAGCTGTTCTCCCCCCAGAAAGCGGGACTCGTTGCAAAGGTTTGTTGCGGCTGAGAAGCGAGCCTGGGGCCCCCGCCCGGACGCTCACCGGGATCCGCTGCTCCTCTCGACGCCGAAAGGAGTGGCTCTCCCGCCTCTGGGACGGCCACACCCGCCGTGCGCCCCGCGCCGGCGCCGGGCCTGACCCTTGCAAGCCCTGATGAGAGCGCCGCGTGAAACCCTCCGCGGGAACAGTATTCTTCGTGGGGACGAACAAGAGTTGCTTTTTATAGAGAAGAGACCACCCGGGGCACCGGCTCCCCGCCGTCTCAGCCCCGCCACCAGGAAGGCTTCCGCGGGCAGAGGGGCAGCAGGGTGTCCGCGGGCCGCGCGCAGCTGCCTCCCAACCGCCCACGGGCGGCCGGCTGCGCTGACCCTGTTGCTCGTGCCCTTGGCCGCGTTGCTGCTGTTGCTGCTGTTGCTGCTGCTCCTGCTGCTCCCTCCCGAGCACCTGCCTGCCTTCCTCCTCGGGGACCGTTAGCAAAGCCACACAGTGTCTGCTGGGGTCTGGAGAGTGAAGGGCCTCGTGTTCTGCAGCCACGAGCTCTGCTACCCGATAGGCTGACCCCCCAGCCCATTGGGCGAGCTGGGTGCCTTCCTCAGGGTCGCGCAGGAATGGGTGGCCTTACCATTTCTCCAACAACGTTTGCAGAGTCAGAGCACCCGGAGGCAGGGGACAGGGGCCCACCCAGGAGGTGAGCCCCTGAGGAAAACCAAGGAGGAGGGTTCTCCTTAGAGCTGCCATTTGGAGGTTGTTTCCATGACGGTGGGTCTCCTTTGGGCCACCGCTGCCAGGGAGTTGCCTGGTGCTCGGGTGGCTTGGCGGAGGCTGTAGGGAGCTCGGGGCAGAGCGCCACACGCCCGGCGGGTCTGGAAGGAGTGTGGCCCTCCCGCCGGCCGCTTAGCGATTCCTGCCCCGGAGTTCTCTCACCTCTGGGCGCTGTGTGCGCCTGCTCTCTCTGGATCCCTCCTTCGCCTGCTTCGTTTTATATGACACGATCTCATTAATTTTATATCCGTTAAGGTGCACTAGATTTAGATGGCGTTCAACCCGATTGAGTTAATTCCTCCTGAATGAACGGATGGGTGGGCGGACGAATGGCTGAGAGGCATGGGTGGGGCAGAACATCGCTGCTGTACATTGTAAACACTTGGCTCGGTGGTTGAGCATCGCCCCATGAACCAGGAGGTCACGGTTCAATTCCCGGTCAGGGCACAGGCCCGGTTGTGGGCTCCATCCCCAGTGTGAGGCGTGCAAGAGGCAGCCGATCCATGATTCTCTTTCATCATTGATGGTTGTATCTCTCTCTCCCTCTACCTTCCTATCTGACATCAATAAAAAAAATTATTTAAAAAAAAAAAAACAATAGCCGAAACCGGTTTGGCTCAGTGGATAGAGCGTCGACCTGCGGACTGAAAGGTCCCAGGTTCGATTCCGGTCAAGGGCATGTACCTGGGTTGCGGGCACATCCCCAGTAGGAGATGTGCAGGAGGCAGCTGATCGATGTTTCTCTCTCATTGATGTTTCTAACTCTCTATCCCTCTCCCTTCCACTCTGTAAAAAATCAATATATTTTTTAAAAAACACCAATAAATAAATT